GAGTGGATATATCATATCCCCTATCATGCACCAGCCTCTGGGAAGATTGGGCGATACAATGGACTGTTAAAAACCACCCTGAAAGCTATGGGGGGGGTGGGGGTGGTGGTGTGTGGAACTTTTATAAACCAGGACAAGCATTTAGCATAAGTTACCTGGTTAGTTAACACCAGGGGATCCATCAATTGAGCTGGTCCTGCTCAGTCAGACCTTTTACAAACTGTAGTAGGGGATAAAGTCCCTGTGGTGCATGAAAGGAATGTTAGGGAAAACAGTCTTGGTTTTTCCTACTTCAGGCAAAGGCAAACCCATTTGTGGGACTGGTTTTGCTCAAGGACTGACAGTGTTCAATAAGTCTTTTTCAGGATAACATAGTGGTGATGAAACCTGAGCTAGCTTCATCAAGTGGCATCCAGCAAACTCTTTGAGGTGGACATGCTACCCATGGGCACAAACCATGATGAATTTCATACCATCTTTCCTGCCCTGAAATGCAGTCTTGCAATTACGAACTAAATGGACTTAATGGGATGGTGCCCTGGTTTGAGGTAAAACAGAACCAATTTTCTGTTCAGTAATTTTACTTTGCAGCTAAGCCTCTTCTAACTACTGAAATTAACAGTATATCATGCAGAAACTGTTCGCTCTCTGAGTGATACCCTGTTGGTCAGCTTTGGGTCACTTGTCCTGTTCACTCCTCCCCAGAGGGGCGACCCCTCTACGCTTTTCTGCTTCTGACCCTCCAACGGGGCAAGTAACAAAGTTAGCTGGCCTTGGTTGTTATAGCAATAAGTATAAGCAAGAGCCTCTCTGCATACCATTCCTTGGCGTGAACTTTAAACATAGGTCTTATCACTCTGAGAGCTAACAGTACCTGCACAATATGCTGTTAATTTCAGTAGTTAGAGAGGCCTAGCTAAGAAGCGAAGTTACTGAACAAAATTGGTTCCATTTTACCTCAAACCAGGACATTCCACCCCTTATTCCATACCATTTGCATCTTGCTCAGATTACTATTACTGAACAGAAAATAGGTTCTGTTTTACCTCAAACCAGGGCACCATCCCATCTGCCTCATGCTCAGTATAAAAGCTGAGGGATCAAATGGCCGGCATCTGAGGACTCGCTCTGTTCATCTGCCTTTGATCCTGATCCGGAATCCAGATCCGGAATCCAGTTCCCGTCTGTCACTGAGTCCACTCTGGGACTTTCCCAGTGCCTGCCGGTGATCATCGTCCTGGGAGCTTGATACAGTTTTGTATATATTTCGTTATTTTCTTTTTATTTTATTATTAATATTTCATTAAAGTATTTTAGTTCCTTCTAAACTCATAACTCTTTCTCTCTCTCCCTTCTCTCCTTGAAGAGAGAGGTGGGGGAGAGCATCTGTTGTTTGCCTCAGTGGCCGGTCCGGCCCAAACCACGACACAGCTAAAGGTACCAGCACTGGCTCCTACCTGGGGACACAATGGTCACCACAGCCTGGCTATGCTGTCCTGACATGTGTTGGCCATGCCACCCTGCCAGTTGACTACCATGGGTTAAACCATTATGCTGTGCATTAGGCAAACCATAGTGCTGTGTTGGCTGTGCTGCCCAACTGCTGTTTTCTCCCTGTAATGGGTGTCAAAACTTTTAAGTCAGACAGCTGCCCCTCAGCCCTGTTAATAGCACCATTTTTTAAGGAACTTCATCTCCAGTCTTGCCCCTGCTCATCAGCTGGAGTGTTTAGTCTCTGGTCTGATTGTGCTCTGACTGTAATTGGTCAAATTACCTCCTTCTCCTTGGTCCAGGTACTCAGTTACTTTTCCATGCAAGCAGCAGCTGCAGTTATGAAAGAGAAGTTATGGGCTTATGAGCAGGAGGGAGGGTGCTTCTGCAGACCTGCTCTCCACTATAAAAAGACTTAGACCTCCAGAAAGCAACATTTCTCTGTGGTCAGCATTGGAAAATTGTATTTCTGCAGGCTGTGAAATTCAAGACAGGCCCTAGCAAGCACCTCCCCAACTCCCTCTGGCACAGAGGAGACACCAGTGATCAGGTCAGGCTGCTGTGGAAGGACCCCTGAAATTTAGGATAGAAAGACAAAGTCTCCTACTGCTGTTTTTTGCAGCACAGACCCCAGATTGGTTATATCAGGTAAGAAAGGAAAGGATAGATAAGGTGAGTACAAATACATGTCTACCTAAACTGTTGTTTCTCAACACCTAATTCAGATGATAATCTGAGAATTTATAATATGCCTGGGTTTTGCACTGATGAAGCCTTATAACAGGTTAGACTTGTGAAATTCTGCCTGCAATTCTTTTCTTGGGAAAGACAAGTTTGTAACTAAAATTTTCTACCATCTGGCTGTTGTAACTATGCCCTACCCTAATAAGCCCTTTTCTAGCCTTAATATCTTTTTTCCAAGCTACTACTGGCCACTGATCTGAAAAAACATGAATTTCAAACTTTCTGAATTTGATCTCTTAGAATATTTTTATTGGAATTGTGATAGTTCATTTACATATTCTGTGATAACAGAATTAATCAAAGTTGTCCACTTAAAGATTGTGATCCTAACTAAGATCAGTAATTATCATGACAAGATAGAGTTGATTACATAGCATATATTCAGAAAGTTTGTTAAAGCTATGTAATGCATGTTATCTGTTCTTATTTTGTTATTTGGAAAAAAAAAAAAGTTATTTAAAACAAATAATTCACCATTCAGGAGGAAGGGTTTCATTCTGCAACATCCAGATCAGTGGGAATTATACTTTCAGCTCAAGGTTGATGTTAAAATGCAAAAAAAAAAAAAAAAATAATAAAAAAATGCTCTGGCATCATCAGCTCAGGTTTTGCAACCTTGTAATAGAACAGAAATACAGGGAAGTCAGTTCTACAAGCAATCACCACCCTGCAGTTGAGATGCAGTAACTTGATGGTATAATTATTCCATTTTTCTGGTGCAGAGCATCATCTTCAGCAGTAATTGGAGTAAGCATGTTTGACTTTATGCTAAAATGGATTAAGAACATTTATATTGTCAATTGTTGCGTCCCAGCCACAAGGCAGTAGTGAATAAATTTTGGGTGGCAACTTGTGGGAAACTGGCTAGCTGAGAAGGGTAACATAGATATGATCCAGCTGGCCGAGCAGGACCTTGGGAAACATCGGACTCTGCTCCTGTGATTGCTAAATTGGCAAGGGCACCCTGACCCTGACTGCAGGTGCTACACAGTAATGAGAAGCCTGTGATTACTCAGGCATGGGAAAAGAGGGAGTAGTTGCATGGGAAAAGAAGAGGTAGCTAGCCACAGATAAGGAGCTAAGGGCTGGAGTGATGAACCAATCAGAATGCTGTATTATGTAAACATGCATGTATTAGCTAATTATAAAAGACAACTGTGCTATTCAATAAATGTAGTTTGTTGATTACTCATATAGAGTGTCCTTGTTTTCCCCTATTGCAACAGCAACTTTTCTTTAGATCAAGCTGTTTGTGAAGCTGCTTCACAAGCAAACATCTGCCTGTGGTTGCAGTCTCACTTGGCAGCCTAATTAATGCCCTCTGCAACTGAGGAAGGCAGAGTCAGTGTCAAAAAATCCTTAAAACCTAAAGGCAGCCAGGCCTAAAGCAAGTCTCTGCCAGTGCTTTGTCCACATTTCACTGTGGTCTGTTTAGCCCAGGTACCACAGACCATAATATGTCTAGCAAAGATTTTTCCAAGGCTTCAAGGAAGCCTAGGAAAAATTTACTTGAGCCAGCCTCTCCCATGGAAATTTGAAAGGCAAGCTCTATTCATTGTACAGATAGTTTTGAACTGCCTAAGCAAATCAGGAAATAAACTCAGGAACATAACAGGAATTGGGTTTTTTTCTTATTTTATGAAAAGACATAGGAACTTACTTTCCCTTCACCACCTGCTATTTTCTTGCATGTCAGACCAGCTCCTAACACAGCAGTGTCCTCATCCAAAACAGGGCCCTCCAGGCTCATCATCTGGTAAGTCATTTACCCAGTACCCCAGAGGCTGAGGACTTGGTGTAGCCAGCACTGCAATAGCTCTAGCATGGTCCGGCTCAAGTACAGGGCATGAGCTGGGAATCTGGCAGGGTGCAGCTATTCCCAGAGTTATTTGGGAATTTGCTGACAGGTTTTCTAACAAGAAGATGCCAGATCATCAAAACTGTTCCTGGAATTAA